TTTTTTTTTTTTTTTTCTTTTTTTTTTTTTGCATTCTAAACTCAGAAAATTCAAGAGTTTTGACATAATTCAGAACCTCTAGTTAAGTATCATTGGTATTTCACTTGTTTGAATTTCTCTCTTGCTTGCCAAACCATTCAATCCCCATGTCAAAACAACACCGGCAAAGAACAACTTTCCATGATACTCTTCAATCTCATCAAATACTCTCACTAGCCAACATTGCATTAGACCTATAATTAACTGGCTCCTGCTAGTGGCCTTCACCTACACCTTCACCTACACCATCAATCGAAGCTTGATGACTCTTGTCAATTATGGGGGGAGGATGAATAACCACCACAATGACGAAACAAGCAAGAAAGCAAAAGCAGCGGAAAAGTAAAGGGCAACAAGATTTAATGTTGAAAAACCTAAAATAGGAAAAAAAAAAACTATAGAGCTACACCACACCAAAAAACTTACTATAAAAATTGGGAGAAATAAGCATAGATCTATCTTTTCTCGCTCTCTCATTGCTTCTATTCTCATATGCACAATTTTCAATATCTACACACTCAAAAATACAAGAGAACCAAGTAAAATAACCCCAAGGGACGCAGCCCTTTAGAAAAACTAGAAAGAAAACCATCTAGTCCGTTTCGCAATACTACGACACCAGTTTGGGGCGTTGCGGCGCTCAAGCCTCTGCTTTGTACCATTACAATGTTGTATTTATATTGTTGTGGCACTCTTTTCTATGTTGTTTAGTGTCAGGGCACTCGAGTATGCAGCGCTGGGGTGTTGTACGGAGATTTTTTTTTTGCACCTAAGCAGGGGATAAAACCCCCACACCCCTCATCGTACACAACAAACTTTAAGGTCCGAGACAACAAAATGACCAGATTGAACAACACAATCAGTTTCCACATATAACATCAATGACATCAGCCTTCAACTCACTCAGCCACAACCTCAAAATATATCATGTAACAATATGAATTCTCACATTGTACTGCAGCCTTCTCCAGCAAGGGTAGATTTTCGTAACCACAAACTTAAACTAGTTGAATTTCAACTAAGCTATGCTTAAAAAGCTTTGAATCCTCTAAGTGCACAACTTTTTTCCTTTTAATTTGCGTACGCCAACTTTTTCTACAAAATAACATGCCAATTTCAATCTCTACTCATGAAATTTGTAGCACACAAGTACACAACATACTAATTTGCATATTTTTATGTGCATTGACACATGATCAAAATGTTTTTAAGCAGAATATGGTTGGGCTAAGACATTCATGCTAACCAAATAAAAGAGAATAAAAACCATTCAAACTCTAATTATAGAGTCAAACAGGAGAGCTTCAAATTTTCAAAATCCAGTTTGATGGCCTTTAGCAGCACCTTCAGAACGATACATAAGAGGTAACATTGGTGTTTCTTCTACACCATCTATTAGCTTTAATTCATATGTAAATTTTGTAAAAATCATTCAAAGTCTGAGAAGAAAAATATGAAAACTAGTTACTTGCACTAAGCAAGGGTAGCGACATCTTATGCACACACGACTGGTGTCATCTCGTTTCTCTCATTGTTGAGTTCGCCGATAATAATAACTGCACATGTAAATTGAGGAAATTAATGAAGTCAAAGAGAAAAAAATTTATTTAAATAGCCAGACTTACACAAAGATGCTAATGCCAAATATTGAGGCATATTTACGCAGGAGGCGCTCGATTGTATACCATTCTGATCGCTGAGATCCATCTTGATAACCAATCCTTGGCATATGAATAGATGCTTCAGAAAAAAAAAAAAAAAAGCCATGAGGAACTTTAATGCGGCCATAGAGATCCGAGTATAGTAAAACAATTACCAGAATTTTGAGAAGCAGATGCGGAGGCCTTTGAAAGGCATTTTTCCAGATCATCTGTAGAGATATTGCTCCTTGGAACCTTACGTCTTGAACTATATGACTGCACCACAGCTAAGGCCACCCATAGAGGAGCCTGAGCCATGATACCGTTGTCACCATCTGATCCCGCAGAAGAGTGAGACAGTTTAACAATCAATGATGAACAAGAAGAGAGAGAAAATAAATGCAAGAAAATGAAGAATGAAAGACAAAAAATTGGAGGCATCACATGGTGTGGACATCTCGATGTAGCTTAACTGTGGTGTAATTCATTTTACTTATTTAGTATTAGCTCTACTTAACATTCTTTTCCAGTCATTCCTTAGAGGTGCCATTGGCTTTAATTGGACTTTTAACTAAATCAATTATCAATAAAATTGATAGGTCAAATGCATCCACATGATCTGTGTTTCTGGAGGTTGGCTTTGCAGTTGTACCAATCTTTTATGGGCTATGATGTGGCATTTGGCTCATCATCTGGGCTCCGTGACTTGTTAACAATCATTGGTGGTGAATCTTCTTGTTCTTTTGGTGGCCTTATTTTGGGTGTTGGTTGATGTTTGACTTTTTGGTGGATTTTTTTCCCTCCTTTGGATGGTCTGTGCCTAGTGGTTGGAAGCTTATGCCAATTACTTAGCCCGATTGGTCTTTTGCCTTCTTTATTTTCTAGGTCTCATCTATTCTAGTTTTGTCTTGTATCTTTCTTTGTGTTTGTTTGGTCTTGGTTGTAATCTTTCTCTTTTGATGGAATAAATTGTATTTTCTTCAAAAAAAAAAAAGAGCATAGTATATATCAAAGGCACTATATATCAAACTTTTTCAAATATATTCCATCAAAACTTATTAGGTCTATTTATACAATTATGATGCGAATTGCACTTTACAATGCCTAATCGCTAGTAAAATACTTATGCGGCTGTCAGGTCTAAACAATTATGAGAAAACAATAGGATTGAAATTCGCTTCACAATGGATCATAAATATCACAACTCGGCTTGGAAGTTTGGAACATCAAGGTGGAAACAAAATATCCGACAAAAAATTATAACTGCAATCTCTATCCCATTACTAATCTCTCTAAAATATTCAAGAACCTTTTTAACATAATTTTTCCATCTCTAAAGATGATTTTATTTATAAACATTTTACAAAGATAAACCATTATGCTAATACATAATCTTACAAAATAAAAACTAACATAAATGTTTGCGTTATCAATACCTATCTGTAGTTGTTACTCTCCTGCTATAGATATACTTTCTTCTTTCACCCAGCTAAAGTAATGTAGACTTTTCTGAAAAATAATTATCAACTATTAAGGTGGGTTTAATAGCAACTCAGTGGATGATTATTGATAAGGACATCGGTAAGAGATTTTGGCGCGTTTATCATAGGAGGCATCGGAGATCGACGGTCACGATCAGGAGCCTTTATTTTTTATGCATTTTTATGTATTATTTATTTCAGTTTTCATACTTTACCCCTATGGAGAGTTAGTTTGCTTTTGTAGCCATTTGGGCATTCTAGTCTTTTTCTTTTTGTCATGTTGAAGCCTATATATAAGGCTCTTTCTATTGTATTGAGGATGATTTTATGAATAAAATTTTGAGTTTTTCTCTTCTTCATTGTTGTGAGCTTTGAGAGAAGGAAAAGATCCATAAGTGAGGTTGATTGCAATACTCGTCAGCCTTTGAAAGAGTCCGAGGCTAGCAGTTCATTATCTTTCTTCCATTTCCCCTACATCCGGCCACTTCCCCTTCTCCTAACACCCACCGGCCTGATCGCCCCCACCGTCCCCTCCTTTTTCCCCTTAACAGAGGCCTCCCAATCCATAATCGCCAACCTCCCTTGGCTCCTCCAGCCGCCGGCCACTTCCCACAGCCCGACTAGGAGTTTGAAGATTCCATCGAAGACTATGTTGGCCACATTATATTTCATCTAGCCGAGACGTTCGACGAACAACGACCATCCGGACAGTGGCAACTCGTTGGATGTCCACCTGCACCTCCTTCTCCGGCTACCTTCCCACGGATCAAAACCATGGGCGTCGTAACTTTTTTGGTTTTATCACTTGGTTTGTTGAAGATCTCTCTCCGCTAAAGCCCCTCATAGAGTGTGAGTGATAAAGGAAACTCTAGGTGAAAATCTCTAAATATTAACCTGTGGATTCTTATTACAGCACATTTAGTTTTATTGTATTTTCTGAAATTATTTTAAGTTGTTATGTTCTCTTAAAATTGTAACTGCATGCCAAAGCAAACGTCAATGGATAATTCCTAAAATTAATTCCTATGACTCATTAATCTTAAAGTAGCAAGCTAACAATAATTTTATTATTTCCTTTGCAATTCCTATTGGATTCACATCAATTATATTTTTAAATTATAATAATTCAAAAAATAGGGTATATAATATGCATGTAGATCATTGCATGTTATTCATAATATATTGCTTCATCATGAGCAATAAGTATAAATATATTTACAACTTGATAAATGTGGTACAAAGAAATTATTATAGTTTAATCAATCACTTTATCATGATAAATAAATAATTTAACTTATAATATGTAATGGCCGGTCGAGCTGGTTTAGCTAAATCGGCCCAAACCAAAGGGAGGGCGAGCAGCTGTGCGAGTGGGCGGTCGATCGAGCAATAGGGCAAGCGAACAGCTGCAATTTGGACAAGCACAAGTTCGTGAGCATTCATGAGCATCTAAATGCAGCTCCTCACATACTATTTTATCGAATTGTTTCGTCCAATTAGATAAACGAATGAAAGGAATCGAGAAGGCAGTGACTGAGACGGAGAAGAAGGATGAATCCCGCTTTGCAGATATAGGAGGTGTGTCTGTCAAATGTTGGCTCAAGAAAAATGACACGAATGCACGAATCCCGCTTTACAGATATAGGATTCCATCTTCCTTGGGTTAGATTGTAGTTAATCAGATTTCCCTTGAGAGTAGTGTCATGGTTTAATTACATAAGAGATTCTTACTTCCCATGAGCGCAAGCACTTATAGTATATTACCTCTCTTAACACGTAAGAGATAACTCTCGATTAAAGATGAACAATTTTTAAAGGTTTGGAAATTAAAACACAAGGTTTCTAGGGACCTAAGTCTTTGGATCGTCAATCACACAGCAAATGGCCAAGGGACCTAGGGCTCTTCCTAAGTTTTTGAGAAATTTACCTCGGCGGGTTGTCACGGCGCAAACCACAATGCACTCGCCTTGTCCGAAGGCGAGAAAGACGAAAGAGGGTTGCTGTTCAAGCCATTCCGGAGGAAGAAGACCGCTGTCCTAGCTTCTAGGATGTCGTCGCTACTGCCCAAGCTCTCCCGGAAGACAGATTTGCTGTCCAAAGCACTCCAAATCACTATCTTCACGTTTGAAAGCTTTTGGAAGTCACCTCCACTATCCCGAGCTCACCAGAATTGAAGGAGGAAGAAGAAGCCTTCCACCACTTCCTGGAGGCAGTAGAAAAAAACTACAGCAGTTCTTTGTTCCGGATTTTTTAAGAGAAAGAGGAGATCAGCGGCTAAGAAGGAAATGGCGGGACTGACACGCAAGCAAGATCGTGGACAGGGGCTTCCGCGTGCAAATAGGATCGCGAACCATATAGTTTGGCGCGGACATAAGTTCCACCCAGACAAGGGTCATGGACGACAGTGTTCGGTGCGGACAGCAGTTCCGCACGCAAGAAAGTTCACGGACGGCGGTTCCGCGCGTGATGTAGCCGGGAACGGAAGCCTTTGCGTGGAGCTTCCCGTTCTCGTTCTCTCCTGCTTTGGTTCGGAAGGATACAACAAAGAGGCTGAATGGAATGGAAATAAAATCCGCTCTTCCTCGCGCTATCTCTGCTTTCTCCATGCGAGATATCGAAGTTCCATGCCTGCTCAAGTACATTCTGCCGCAAGATAGAGATTTCTGCAGCTAGATAACGGATTTCTGCTACAGTCACCCGCCAAAATCAAAGATTTGCCGAGAAAATGGTGACAAAGTTTGAAAATTTGGACAAATCTGAGCCGTTGGATGCAAGAACTGATTTAGAAAAGTTTAATTGGGCTGAGATTGAACCCATTGTGTTGAAATTAGGTCCGAATGTGACTCGACCCGAACCAATTTGGGTCCAATCAAGTGAATTTTGCGAAGTTAAACTTGAATAGGAGCCGAATTGCGTCAAATTTGGTTTGGCGATGCTCGACGTGGCTTGATTGGGTTCGATTTGAACTGATTTTGGGTCGATTCAATCGATTTAGATCAATTTCAATTAATTTGATTTTAATTTGATAAAATTGAATTTAATTTGATAAAATTATGACCCAATTTGAGTTAAATTGTGCTCGATGACGCTCCATCAAGTTGATCAAGCACGATCGAGCCCAATTGGACATCGGATCAGCTCGATCGGAGCAGGGTTGACACAAAAGAACGTCAACAATCGACATGGTGAGAGTACGCCTGACTAAATCGTCTGCTTCTTTATACTTCATGATTGACTAGAAGAGGGGTAAATATTGGGCGTCATAGCTCAATCCCTCTAAACCACCCTCAATATAAGAATGCCACGCAAAGAACTGAATTTATAATCAATGCATACACACAAACTAATAAGCATGCATGTAAGCATCCTATGTTAATAAATACCTCTCGAGAAAAGAAAAAGGTTTACAAGGAAGATCACTTATTCTCAAATGATTTAGAAGAAATAAAAACTTGACGTTGTATTGATTTCAAGAAATTTCTCTAGCTGATTGGTCATATTACCAACAGAAGAAAAACAGAAAGTTCTTAAATACCAAAACAACAAAATGAGCAAGGAATAACCGTTCAACTTCATTAAATGCAGATCACCCATATGAAGATCTCCAAATTCAGATGCCCGATGATAAGCATCTGGAATGCTTGCTGAAAGATTTGCCAATGCAGTAAACATGCCTCCATGACCCCAGTTCCCCGAATTATCCACACAGCTGAAAATAAAATGTGACAGTTACACTTGCATCACAATAATCACTTGTACAAAAGAAAGAATCCCCAAAGAAGTTTTACTGCATATCCAATATGATAGAAAATAGGTTTAAAAAAAATACCATTGGGGGGAACAGATATGAGCAACATAGATTTCTTCGAATAGGTTGAAAACTTTAAATTTCAGGTAGGAATTAAACTTGCCAAGAGAATAGGCTAATGAAATCCTTCAAAAAGATTTATGGATCTTTCTATACAAGATTCTAGTTACAATGGTATATAAATTTTCTAATGTCAACTCAAATGCATAAACCATAAGGAAAAAAAATATGTTTCTGCAAGTCCCTCGTCTTTAATGATTTCTTGTTGCTTTTAGAAGCTTAGAATTCTTGTGACTGCGCAGTTTTTTAAAATGGAATCAACAGATTGGCACTGACAAGCCCCATGCATGGACACACATTTTTTAAGGAAAACAACTATTCTAAGCTGTACAATTTCCAAGTGCACATGATATAAGGATGCACATGTTTAACTCTAGCACAAATGGAACGACTCATTATGAGAGAGATGAAAATATTTCCTTATCAGCCAGGACACATGAAGCTAATTCATGAGTCGGTGTAATTACAAAAATTGTAAATGATGGTGCTCTCGATGTAGAAGTATTATTACCAAGACAATTCCTATAGCTCAAAATTATTTCTTTGTAGCTACACTTGAAATGTTGAACACGATTATGAAATATAATCTGAATTGTGCCAATGCATTAAATCCCAGCTATCCCTTGGCATTTTGATCCCACAGCTAGGATGGGGATATTTGGGGGGATATTTGGGAGGCTTGCCTAAATTGCACCAATCTCCTTCCATATTTAAGTGGCTGATTCAGGAATGATTATAATAGAGCAATTATGTATGATTCTATAATTATTTGTTTCTTTATTAAGATATCTTATACAGATCTATAAATAGAAACATGTTTGAGCAATAAAACTAAGCCTTTTTTCCTCTCCAATTCTATGCATTTAGCATGAACCTTGTTGGCAGCCATGGGTTGCTTTGTCCAAGGATACCTTGTGGACACGGGTTGGATGTTTGTCTAAGGGGATGAATTCGAGTTAATCTTAGCTAACAAATGGCTTTATATCTTATATCTAGTGTACCTTATAATTCATTACTCCAGGGGCTTTTAACCATTAGGGAACATACATGCTTTGGCTGTAAATGTAATATAATTGTGTCATTTTTCGACAAAATCACTCGATCAGAGGGCACGTGCTATGTCCCTACTGGAGAGAAATCAATTGAGAATGAATTGTAGTAATACATTCAACAAGACATATATTCTTTGTAAGATGAAGTTATTCTTAAATTCATCGCCCTCGCCAAACAATTGTAAAGTGTGGATGGATTTTGATTTTCAAGTTTTTTTTTTCATTTTTTTGGGATGGATTTCATTTTAAGAATTTATTATGGATGTCTCTCCAGTTAGAAAAATATGCAACAATTCATTATAAAATCGAATGACTTCAAAACCCTTATGAGCTTTAGAATTAATGTTCAATTTATCATCACTTTCTATTAGTATTAGAACTCAAAACAAAATTTCATGTTTTGTTCTAATTTTCTAGCAAATTGGATGTTATTTTTTGTAACTCATAATTATGCTTTATATAAATCATTCAATCTAAACCTCCAAGATCATTAGTAGCAAATAATCATTTGGAAAGCAAACATTTTCATTTGATTAAAATGTTAAATTAGATATATATGGTTTTGTCATTCTTTTTTTTTTCGTTCGACCTTTCCCTCTTGTTGGGAGCATCGGGTAGGCATTTGTCTTTCAATCTTCCCGACCGGATCCAAGATACAATGGACGGGTCTGTAAAACCCGCAAAACGTCGTTTTAGACCTCGCACGCTTTTCAAAGCGTCGCGACGAGTTTTAAGTGGAAAATTCGAGGATGTCGGATTTCGATGGAAATAATTTTGAAAAATTCTACGCAAAATTCTAAGAAATTTGATGTAAAGGACTTATATTTAATTTTGCTTACTTTAGGAATTAAAATTAAGAGAAGTCTCATAATGTCAATTCTACCCCTAAGTGTTTCTTAAGCAAAATCTATTTAAATAAGGGCATTTGAGTCTTTTGGCATATCCCCTTTCTCCCTAAATGAACTAACCGAGCCCTCCCCATTCATTTCATGCGGCCCGAATCGAACGCGTGAGGGAGAAGGCGGACGGGAGAGGAGAACGGGCGGCTCCGGCGGCGGTTTCCGGCGGCCAAACTTGGGAAAATCGTAGAGGAGACTAAGGGAAGTGAAAGTTATGCAATAGAACTAGGTTTTTCTCTCTTATTCTCAAGATTTTTTGGATGAGAAGATTTCTAGGGTTTGAGAAAAACTTAAGTTTTCTTTGAGATCCTTTTGAGAAAAGTTTAGGGAAGGTTAGGGGGATGTTTCTAAACCCTAATGTGCATTTTCTTTCATAAAAATATGAGTTTCGAAAATTAGGGTTTTTGCTTAAAAGTTGTTTCTTTGGAAATGTCTTCACAAACGTTGTTTCTAATGACTTGAGAAAGCTTTTATGTAAAGACATTGTAAGGTTTAAGCTAAATGTTGAGTTTAGGGATTTAGGGTTTCTCCCTAATGAAGAAATTTTGATTCCTATAGTTCTAAAAAGACTTTTAGAAAGATTTTTGACATTGATTTATGGCTTTTACTTGAAGGGCAAGTTTTCATTATTGTAGATTACTTTAATCCAAGAAATTCAATGATGTTTTAATTAATGTTCGATAGTAGGATGAATGTTTGCTTATATAAGATCCTTGTTTTTGTTAACTAAACCCTAATTGAGAGTGAAGGGTAGTGAGAGATATCATGTTTTAGTATGGAGGGGTTTGA